TAAAATAAAATTTAAAAAAAAATGTGTGTGTGTGTGTGTGTGTGTGTGTGTGTGTGTGTGTGTGTACAGGCACACACATGTTTTAAATAGCACATGGAAATTAGTGGACAACTCTTGGGAGCGGATTCTCTCTATGACCTTATATGACCTGGAAAACAAACTCAGATCTTCAGGCTTGCACATGCCTCTACCCTCTGCTCCGTCTTGCCAGCCAAATGGCAGATCTTTTATGAAGGCATCTCACGAGGCTTTCCTGGCACCTAAAATTACATTAAATGCTATAAGGATCTATGAAAATTGCTGCCTCTTACCGGTAGCCTGAGGTTGAGAGAAAAAATCCTCTTCCTCATCTCTTGCCTGGGGTGCGTGCACTATGTACTGTGGTGTACATATATGACCCACACGACTTTATAAACACATTCTTTAGGAGAGACAATACACAGGATATGGTGATACTGGGACAATGGAAAGGTGAGGATTTATTAAACCAGCACCAGCCAGCTGAGGGCTGCTAAAGCACTATGACCACCCCCAAACCCAACCTAGCTGGCATGGTGAAGGTTGAAGATGACAAGAATGGCTGGCTCCCCAGTTAAGAACGGTGACAAACCCGTATGCACCCAAGAGCATGTTCCAAACACAGAAAGCCAACAGTGACAGAACCACAAGCACTGGTCATAAGAGAAGTTTCGTTCATCTTCCCCAAGAACAGACAGCAGCCCACTGGGGGAAAAAATAGGAAGTTCAAAAGAATGAGCAAGGCTTTATTCAGACTAATATATGGGGCTCTCCAATTTGTTATTCGTTCAATGTCAAGACACTGAGCTGTATTACCTAGTGTGATCTCACTGATGTTTTTAACTTATTTGTGTGGGCTCATACATTCTCTTACATACACTCTTTGGACCTGCAAATCGTTTTCTGAAAGACTACATGTGTAAGATAGGGCAGAGAAAGACTCTCTCCAGTTTTATCACCTTCATCCTGTTTAAAATTTATCATGCACATATATTAATTAGTTTTAACCCCATTTTAAGAAAGGAAGGGAAGAAAAAATAGTTTAAAATTTGATTAATTAACTTTCCTTATGAACAGTATCCAGCTGGTTTCCCAATTACTGTGTCAACTCAGATTGGTGACAGAAATAATTACACGAAGTCTATCTTCAGGGGAGAGGCAACGCGGTATTTGAGCATCCGTCTATTTATTATGAGACTGAGATATGTACCGACACATGACAGACCTTACAGGGGGAAAACGCTCTGTGAACATCTAACACCCCTTCAGCAGCTGCCCCCACCAAGCTCTGCCCACCTTCTCCAAAGAAGGGGCACAGAGAGGATGGGCAAGATGGAGAGGGGTTAGGGGACCCCCCATACTGGACATCGACCAGACAGGAACCCATCTTGAACACATGTGCTTGAGTCATTTGTATTTCAGATGGGTTTGCCTCAACACAGGGCAACCCCAAGGATGCACGATGATAGAATGAAAAAAAAAATGGAGTGAATGAATGGTGGGATAAATAAATTAATAAGTAAAAGAATGAGTGACAGAGTGAATGTATGTGAATGAACGAATGAATGAATGAATGAATGAATGAATGAGTAGATGAGAGACTGAATGAGCACTGGCTCACAGGAAGAGCTGGACAAAGAATTGATAAGGCTGAGGCCTGCCTCCCACTGTGGTAGCTACTGGTAACTACGGTTTGCAAACTAGTCCCAGGAGGCTCTCTGAAGAAGGTTCCGGAATAGAAGCCTCCTCACCCACTGCCCATTTCCCCTCCTCCCTCCACCCAGTCCTCACACCCGGGGCAGGATTTTGCTGTGTGCAGGAGCCTTCACACACACCCAAGGTCGTGCCACCTCCAAAACAGCTCCCATAGTTGCCCTTGAGAGGAAAGCTGCAGAAACCCAGAGGAGCCCGCAGAGTGGCCTGGAGCCAAGTGGTGACGCTACTCAGCTGGGCCAGAGGCCAGAAGCAGGCATGGTGTCCCCTGGGATCTGTACAGGACTGTGACCCTCTCTCCTCTCCTTCCCCCCGCAGCTGCAGTCACGGGCAGACACGATCATGTCTGAGTCAGTGGGTTCGAGGCGCCGCTGAAGTATCACAGTGGGAGTGGACTCACCCAGGGAGCACCTGAGATGCAGCAGTGGGGCCGAGGAAGAAGGGAGCACAGAGTACAGCACAGACAGACAGACAGCCATGGGGTAGGGGAAGCAGTCTTTTAAGTGATGACTCACTGTAGAAGTAGCCGTGGGTCTGCCCCGGGTCAAAGGATATAGACCTAGGAGCACTGAGATTCAACCAAACATGCACCCTGGACGTTGCCACCGCTCACCCGACAACAGGTCCAAGCACTTGAGATCTCCTGGCCCTAGGTAAGGGGTGGTATCTCATGTGGAAGCAAGTCTCGGGGATCCGGATTTGCACCCCTGAACAAGGACTGACTCCCTTCATGGGTCACACACTGGCCTGCCAGTCTTCCCTACACACTTAGGCTCTGTGTCCTGCTTCCTTCCCATGTGGATCCTGATGCCTCATACCCTGTTGGTCACCCATGTTGCCTCCAAGATCCCACCACTACTTTCGCCTCCCTTTCTAGGCTCATGCTCCCACAAGGGTCGCAATTACTATTGACATTTTAAGAAGAGAGAGAGAAAAAAATAAAGAAGAACATTTAGGTCAAAGAGAATATTTCACATATAATATTAACACATTGTTCTTTTTATTAACACATTTGGAAAATGGAATTTTTTCTCACACTTTTCTAGAAGGAGGGGCCTGTGAAGTTAGAAATGCCTCTTCTGATGGAGCTCCTGAGGCCCTGGACTTACCCTGTAGCTTCATTGCCTATCAGTGAGGGCCACATGGTTCTCAAAGCATTGGCTGTGTGTCTTCTGGGCAGAGTGGGATCCTTCCCCCAACCTCAAATGTTGGTGTAGCTTGGCAGCAGTTCAAAGCCCATGTGCCTTAATAAATATATCTCATCCCTATTGAAAAGAGCTCAGGAAGAGTAGTATCACACTAGGAATCCCCTAGGTACCTCTTCTTCTCAGCAAAAAGATAAAAATTACTCCCTAGTCCAGAGGGAGCCACAGGCAAGCCAGGTGACCACATAAGCAAAGCCCAGTTGACTGGTCCTGTTCTCCAACCCTCAGAGACTTTGGACATAAGGACAGCTGCTGGAGGAGACCCATTAAGAGGTTTGCCTATACGGAGCCTTGAGGCCCTTGAGAATCATCTCCAAGACAGCATCATGTCACGTGGTGGAGATTTTTTACTTCTGGGGTCATAAGTACCAGGCTATCACTGTCCTGATGGGGAGAAGTATCTTGGTAACACAGGCCCGGCCTGTGGGTGTGGGACCTGCCTGCTATACCTCTGCCATCTGGAAGTCTCCTTCATTGGTCTGCTGAGTCTGCCCTCCCACTAACCCTATCTGAGCCACCAGAGGACAGAGCCTTCTCCCAGCTGCCAGCTGCCTTCCTGGTTTCTTAGGAAAAGCCATCCCACAGGAAGCAGTGAGGTGCCAGCTCTAGCATGGTCTCTAAGCCCGGGACTGCAGAGCTTAAGGATGTGAATGTGTGATAAGGATGTTAGGTCAGACTCTGCAGAAAGGACATAGCTAAGAGGGTAAGGTCACAAACATCCCAGGCCAGGAAGCCTGGCTCTGCAGGAAGGCCAGGGCCAAGAAGCAGGGTCACAAATACGCTGGGCCAGCAACCCTTTCCTGATTGGTCCTCCTTGATGAAAGGCAAGTACAACTTGGAGGAGTCAGATCTTCAAAAGCCATTTGCTGGGGGAGAGACTGCTTCACTGTACTCTAACAAGACACACCAAGTCCATCTAGTCAGAAAGACTAGAATGGAGACCAGGCCAGGAAGAGTGTCCCTTGATGGTACTCACTGGTTGTCACCTGATGAGTGGCTCTAGAATTCCCTGGCTCAGCTGTATGGTACCTGGGGACATCTCACCCTGAGGAAAGTAGCCAGACATCAGAGGGACAAAGGGGGTGCTTCATAGTTCCTATACCATGATCCCAACAAAACCAACTTGAAGGTCAATGGCTCATGAAAGCCAAGAGCCTAAACTAGGACTCTTCTGCCTCATTTCTGCATCAAACTGAACCAGTCCAAAGATGCCAACGATCACCCACTCAAGGATCCTAGGTGCTGTTTGCTTTTGTCCCTCATCTCAGGGCTGGAGCTGAGCTCTGCTACAGTAGTTAATCTTCTCTGTTAGCTTTTATCTGGGTTTGGAATCGCCTAGGAGATTGGTAAGGCACAGTTCTGGGAGTGTTTCTAGAAAGGATGAACTAATACCTACCCTGGTATTACCTACCAGGTATTACCTCTCCATAGGCTATTAGTGTGGATGGAATAAAAGAGGAAGAGGAGGAAATCTCATAGTGTGAATATGCTCTCTACTTCCTAGATGTTATGGTGTGAGCCACCCTGCCATACCTTCCCCATCATGGTGGAGTGTACCTTCTGAAACCACGAGCCAAAATAAATCCTTCCTTCCTTCCTTCAGTTTTTCTGTCAAGTTTTTTTTTTCCTCACAAAGATAAGAACAGTAACGCACAAGTCAAGGGCAACCCTGTCCTTCCCAGGAAGGGGCAGACCAGGGTGGGGCCAAGAAGACTGGGGCAAGATCTGCTGTCAACATCGAAGACGAATGAGGGACAAGAGAGTCACTGTGACTTGAGAGAGCTTGGAACATGCAGCCAAATTCTATTTCTACAAATGAAAGATGATAAGAGGCATAATTAGCTAATGGAAGCAGGACAGGCCACGTAATGCAGTGTGCAGGGCTGGGAGCCACGGCACTTCTGGGTTTAAAATACAAATCAGCCCCGAAAACTGCTTTGCAGAGGAAAGAGGCAGATGACACTGAGCTGTATACAGGGTCCCGCCATCAGCCCAGACAAGCCAGTGGGACCAGCAGCTCAAGCAAGCAGGACACATCGAAGCAGGAGGCGGCAGGAATGGACATGTCAACAGTTCTTTACATAGAAATAAATGAGTACATCTTCTCAGCATGCAAACTTTCTTTCTTCTTTAATAAAGGGTTAAATTGTATGTATACCAAAAGTCACTTCAAAGTATAATTTATGATTTGTAGTCAGTACATGTCTGACTTGTTTTTGTTTGATACAGGGTCTCACTATGCCCTGACTTGCCCTGGAACTTCCTATGTAAACCAGGCCGGCTTTGAACTTGCAGAGATCCACCTGCCTCTGCCTTTGGAGTGCTGGGATTAAAGGCACGTGCCACCACACCCAGGTACATGCTTGACTTATCTATTGAATATACCTATATACCCAAGCTGAGGGAACTTGGTCAGAATTCATACAGGGTCCTGCTAAGCCTTTCTTGAAAACAGTCAACAGTCACAGGTTTGGGATTTTTGTGGTGTGTGTGTGTGTGTGTGTGTGTGTGTGTGTGAGAGAGAGAGAGAGAGAGAGAGAGAGAGAGAGAGAATGTCATGAGTAGAAAAGTTTAAAAAGCCCTGCTCCAGATTACCCCGATGCCATCTTCACGCAGGCCACAGCAGAGAGCACTTTGCCTCCCATCCCAACAGAAAACGTAATAAGCAAGCTATTTGGCTCTCTTTTTGAGCCAGCTGGGAGGACCCCCTCTTGTGCTGCTTATTGCTACTGCATCATTAGGTCCTTGAAAGGCTTTTCTGGAATGATCTACTTTTGATCCGTATCATTAGTAGGGTGGGTTGAACCGACAACCCAGGAGTAAGTAGCACCCGCCGCAGCACCAGCACCAGCACCAGCACCAGCCGCAGCGGCACCGGCAGCGGCAGAAGCAGCTAGAGAGCAGCCAGGGCAGAAACGACAGGGCGCAGCGGTGATGGAGATTCGGGCTATGAAGAGCTGGAAACATGGAACTGAGGATCCTAGTTTCTGGGAAAGTTCTAGGGGGAGACCGACTCTTAAAACCAAGGATTTCAGCTAGTCCGGGTCTGGACCAGTTGTCGATGCAGAACAGAGAGATCCGATGCTCCAACATTGGCATTGCCGCTGATGCGTAGTGCTCTTTGCTGCTGCTTTAGAGTTGCTGGAAGCTGAGGAGGATAAACACCTGCTGAGGCCGGTGTGATACATCTTCAAGTTCTAGAATTACAGGCCCCCCCGCCCAGGCTGGGTGGTGGTGGTGGCGGCGGCGGCGGCGGCGGCCACGGCCGTGGCGCACGCCTTCAATCCCAGCATTCAGGAGGCAGAGCCAGGCAGATCTCTATGAGTTTGAGGCCAGCCTGGTCTACAGAGCGAGATCCGGGACAGGCACCAAAGCTACACAGAGAAACCCTGTCTTGAAAAACCAAAACAAAAAACAGTTCTCAGGGCTCAGAGCTAAGTCTCTGCTTCGCCAGCCCTTGGACACCAGAAGGTCTGAGGTTGCTAGCCTGTGCATGATTCCTATCCAGCAAGAACAGAATAAGCCAGTCAGCTGAAGTAAGGAGAGGGTGAAGTGAGCAGGAGGTAAGCCTGCAACAGCCTAGGGTGGGACAGGTGGCCTAGGGTGGGACAGGTGGGATGGGAACCTCAACAGGTTCACACGCAGACTGACTGCAGCTTCATGCACATTAGACTATCTAGCGCCTCCTCCCTAAAACGGACACAGACTGTGGTGAACAGAAAGCTTAACCATGGGCCATGAGAACCTGGGAGGGCAGGGCAGGTGGCATGGAAGTGGCCTAGAAATGGTCTGCACCTGAGCTACAGCCTCAGCTCTTGGGAGACGTCCTCACGACTACGCATTTCAAGATGAACCAATTAGCTTTATCGATAAATATCGCCTCAAGTTCTGTGAACCAAATTTCCACTTACCATCTCTTGAAACTCCTCAGCCTCATCTTGGTCCCCAGGTAGACTCCCTGGTGTCATAGTTAACCTATGTGTTCTAGAAAAAAAATGTATTAAGGACAATTCTGAACAACAAGGGTACATAATTGCTTCTCTAAAGCTCCTCACACCTTTCTTACCTACCCGCAAGGTGCCTGCGGGAGAGAGGGTTCCTTGGCACCTCATGGGGCCTGACATGGGCAGGTGCTTCTTTTTGGAGTAAGTCCCACCTTGAGAGCTTTGTTTCCATCTGCCCTTTGCTGTTCTGAGGATGCATGGTTCTCAGCAGTGTTTATGGCCAGCTGGCTATTCTCTTAAGATAGTCACTAATCCACATAGACACTGAGGGGTTTGATTATACTATAATTTTTTGAGACAGGGTCTCATGTTACCCAGAAACTAGTTTCAAGCTTGCTATGGGGCTGAAGATAACTTTGAACTTTGATCCTCCTGCCTCCACTTCCCAAGTGCTAGGAATCCAGACATATCCCACCATCTAGGTGTGTTAGTTGGGGTTTCTATTGCTGCAATGAAACACCATGACCAAAAAGCAACTTGGTTGGGGAGAAAAGGGTTTATTTGGCTTACACTTCCACATTGTAGTTCATTGTGGAGGTATTGTGTTCCCCGAAATATTGTGCACGCTAATAAACTTACCTGGGGTCACAGAACAGAACAGCCACAATATTAAACATAGAGGATAGGCAGTGGTAGCACACGCCTTTAATCCTAGCATTCCAGAGGTAGAGATCCATCTGGATCCCTCTGTGTGTTCAAGGATGCTGCCAAGCATGGTGACTAGAAAGTGAGCCTTTAATGCCAGGGAGTGATGGCAGAAGGCAGAAAGATATATAAGGCATGAAGACCAGAAACTAGAAGCATTTGGCTGGTTTAGCTTTTAAGCTTCTAGCACAGTTCAGCTGAGATTCATTCTGAATGAAGACTGAGAGGCTTCTAGTCTGAGGAAACAGGATCAGTTGAGGAACTGGTGAGGTGATGTGGCTGTAGCTTGTTCTGCTTCTCTGATCTTCCAACATTCACCCCAATACCTGGCTCCAGGTTTGTTTTTATTAATAAGAACTTTGAAGATTCCTGCTACAGTCCATCATTGAAGGAAGTCAGGACAAGAACTCAAACAGGGCAGGAACCTTGAGGCCAGAGCTGATGCAGAGGCCATGGAGGAGTGCTGCTCACTGGCTTGTTCAGCCTGCTTTCTTACAGAAGCCAGGATCATCAACCCAGAGATGGCACCATCCATCACGGGCTGGGCCCTCCCCCATCCATCACTAATTAAGAAAACGTCTTACAGATTTGCTTACAGCCCAGTCTTATAGAGTCATTTTTACAATTGAGGCTCCTTCCTCTCTGGTATCTATACCTTATGTCAAGTTGACATAAAACTAGCCAGCACACCTGATTTAAGAGGTACTGAGGATCAGACCCTGGGCCTTATACATATCAGACAGCACCCTACCAACTGAGCTGCATCCTCAGCCTCTGAAACATAATTGTAAGAGTTTGTATTATACTTCCTCATTTGTATGCCTATGTGTCTGTACATGTGTGTATTTGTGTGGGCACGTGGTCCACAGAACATGTGTGGAGGCCGGAAGTCAACCTGTAGGAGTCCATTCTCTCTTTCCACCTGTGGGTCTCACTGAACTCCAGCTGTCAGATTTGGCAACAAGAGCATCGACCTACTAAGCCATCTCACCAACCCCAAAACAGACTTTTTCAAGAGGTAGGGAGCAAGAGAAACATCTAAGCCAAACCAAGCCCACAATCAGAAAACACCCTGTGACAGACACCCTGGCTTGGAACCAGGGCATCTTTCTGATCCTGCAGTAGACGAGGCCAGCCTGACATGGAGCCTAGCCTCCTGCTGGACTTTTGTGGGGTAACCAGCAATGGGGGGGGGTGTCTATGATCAGGTATGAGGTGGGGGCCCTGGCTGTAGGACATAGAGCCTGTCCCCAGGCTGCATGTCCCACAAGGCAGGTCCTTTCAGCCTTCCTGGGCAGGGCTGGGCGGCCCTCTACATTGGTTTGACTATGGGCAACAGTGCCAACGGCTGCTGGGTCAGTGCCTGGAAGCCTATTTGCTGCCACTCAGTTCTGCTGCCCTCCACCAAACAGAGAGGTCAGCAAAGGCCACCCATGCACTCGTGGTCCTCACCATGTGGCTGCCCCACAACCCTGACAGTGATCAGAGTCAAATCCTCCTCAGGCTCCAGCATGTGAAACAAGCACCGGGTGTTTTGTGTTTTCTCTCCTGCCGCAAAAAAAAAAAAAGAAAGAAAGAAAGAAAAAGAAAGAAAGAAAGAAAGAAAGAAAGAAAGAAAGAAAGAAAGAAAGAAAGAGGGAGGGAGAGAGAGAGAGAGAGAGAGAGAAGGAAGGAAGGAAGGAAGGAAAGAAAGAAAGGAAGGAAGGAAGGAAGGAAGGAAGGGAGAAAGAGAAAGAGAGAAAGAAAAGAAAAAAGAAAAAGAAACAAAGAAAAAAGGGGGTCAGAAGATGGATGGGGATACACACATGCACACATATGCACACACACACACACACACACACACACACACACACACACCACCACCACCAAACCCTAAACTTGTGAGTGTTAACAACTGTTCTCAAGAAAGAAACCCTCCGAAAGTTCCCACCAAGATAAATTTAATACAGAGAAACAAACACGCAGGCCTCACTCACACATTCTACCTGGAAACGTGGAACCTGGAGAGAGATCAGGGAGTCCACCCGTGGCCTCCAGTGGACTATAGTGATTCTCAGAGACCCCACGTCTCCTCACAGAGCTCAGTGAGGCTGGAACAAACACCCCATCCCCGGTCGGAGCTACAGCAACTGGGGAGCCCATCCCCACCAAGGGCAGCCTGAATTATGAACAAGGGAAGGGTAAACAAGAAGACAGGAGTTGGGGGGAAGGGCATCCAGGAACCCCTGCCTACCGGTGGCGCTGGGCAGGCATGGGGGTGGGGGCAGGGAAGGCTGTGATACAGGTGGAAGCCTGTGATACATCCTGAACAAACCCTGGGACTCCTAGCTCATTTCTTCAACTTCATGACCCTGTAAAGACATCGCATATCACACAGCACCCCACCCCCACCCCCAGAGCCATGTGGGTAAAGCCCCAGACTCCTGAGTCCGGCAGAAGTCGCTGAAGGAAGAAGAGATTCAGTCAGTGCAGTGACCTGGGCAGAGCACATCACAGGATTTGGCAACCGCTGGAGTGTGACTAGGTAAGAGCAGGGCAGGGGCGCCAGGCTGAGGAGGTGAAGCTCCGCACATCCACGAGTCGGGTAGGACAGGGAGTATGACTCACCCAGAAGAGCTCAGAGGCAGGAAATAGAACAATGGGAGAGCTGAGGCTCTGCCCAGTGAAAACGAAGCAGGAAATCACAAAAAGAATGAGATGGGCAGAAGATGGGTGCCCAGGAGTGTTCCAGAAACCTCAGTACAAGACTCCGGAGTCTCATTCTCTCAGAGCAAAACGCAGATTAGATAGAGTCACATCTGTGAACTGGAGAACAAGGCTGCCCATGAAAGAAAAACAGAGGTGGCAAAATCATTAGAGAAGGCACAAATCAGGATGCCATTTATTGAAAAAGTAAAAAGAATTAAAATAGAAAAAAATTGCTGACTATATGGCAGGTTCCCCCCCACACACACCCTGAACCAAAGTGGAATCTGTTGATATACAGTGAAATGTTTATGATGATGCCTTAAAAAGTCAAAGGGAGAAACAGATGCATGCTAGGACTATAGATTTTGAAACTATTCGGTGTGACCCGTGAAGGGAAAAAAAAAACACAGAGGGAGGAAAATATCGGTTACTGAAACAGCTAAGCCCAGCCTGCCTACTCTCCTCCTACATCAGTGCACCTGCAGGGCAGGGGAGGGGGAAGGGGGAGGGGGCAGGCCCAGGAAAGTGGCTGAGCTTGGAGTTTCAGAGCTACCATCTTGCCCTTCCCACTGGGGACATCAGTGACAGCTCAGTGTCTTTCTCAGACAGATCTCCATCTCTGTAAGATGGAGGAGATAGGTACAGCTTCAATTCACAATGCTTCTGGGAAGAGGACATGGTTACCACCACACAGGGGTCACAGTGATGAGTACAAAGCAGTGCTCCCCAGTGGCCAGGCCCTGTGTCTTTACACCATTATGATGCTATGGGGATATTAAGAAAGATAACTCCAGTAGCTAAGGGCTCCAGGGCTTTGCTGTGTGAGAAGAGCCATCAGGACTGTCCAGAGGTACCCTCCCATCTCAAGGCTGTCCAGGGCAAACTGCCTTAGATGGGCGTTTCTTTTCTTTTCTTTTCTTTTCTTTTCTTTTCTTTTCTTTTCTTTTCTTTTCTTTTCTTTTCTTTTCTTTTCTTCCTTTCTTTCTTTTTGAAACCAAGCCATGTGATTATTTCTTTGAAGGTAAACAATAGCTGGACCTGGACTCCAAGCCTTAAGAATGCTACAGCTACAGGTCCAAACTGTGGTATGGTCTGAACATTGACTCTTGTCTAGACAATCCGGAAGAGAGCAGACAGGTTCCAAGTCATTTGAGTTTCAGTTTGATTTCTCAGTAGGCAGTGTTCCATAAAACTCATCCTCAGGGGAGCCTCTGTTATAGTATCAAAGTAGTGTTAGCATTTTCAGACTTCCTATCCATACCAAGGGCCATTCAAGAAAGAGAGGGAACATCCATCTTCGACTTCCAAACACAGACCACGAAACAGCCTCGATGGTACGCAGGGGCTTGCCTGCTCCAGAACAGGACCTGGGCAGAGCCTGGGCCGTGCCGTTTCATATCACCAGGGCAGACACTCCAGTTGTGGAGGGTGAGTCTGCCTGGGGGAAGACGGACAGCCACACAAAGCAGAAGAGGGTGTAGATACAAAGCCACAGGGAAAGGACAGCCATAGTTGGCCTATCACACCCAGACTGCATACAGTCCCCAAATAAGAAAGCAGTCACTATAGGGTCCCAGTCCCTGGGGCAACAGGGTAGGATGCTACCCCGGCTCCCTCCCCTCAGCTTCTGCCCTTCCCTTAGAGCCCTGCCAAACCCTCACCCACAATTCTTGCCAAGGCCCCTCCCTGCCTCCCTTACAATCCCCCTGGCAGTCTGTTCTGCATGTGTCAAATGGCTGACTTTGATCTTTGACCCAGCTGCACAGCTTGCTCTGGGGAAGTCTGACCTGTTCTCTCCCCCTGGCAGCAAAGCAGCAAGGCCGTGAAAGATGATGCCACTTTACATGGGAGGAATGTGATGGCTGACTATTTACAACCTTATAAAAATACCGAGAGGGCTCCAGAACGATAACTGGAAAGGGATTTCTTTACTGACTACAGGGTCCGGGAGGCCGGACCCAGAGACAATTCATTGCTTTCTCAAGGTCACAGACAGGGGCCGGATCTTACCCCAAGCAGACTGCAGTAAGGCAGAGACCTCTAAGCAATTCAGACTCACCTCCATTCCTTTCCAATTGAAATGGGAGGAGGGTGTGCACTCTGAGCAGGCTCAGACTGGAGTCTGAAGGCTCCCCTGGCAGGGCCAGGCTGCAGAGCAATCTGATTAGTGCACAACTCGGAGCTGTGATCCGATTAGGCCCTCAGCCCCATCCTGGTTTCCCTGGGTGGAGGTGGCTGGAGACAGGCAGATGGCGGATGGAAGAGGGGTCTGGTTTGATGCTGGAGATTAAAATGCTTCCCTGGGGAGCTGCCAGCATTCGCCTGGCCTTGGCAGCAGAGTTAACCTGGCAACTGGAGAGAGGTCCATTTGAAAAATTAAAGATGTGAGGGAGGTAGAAGCGTCTCTGGAAATTTCCGTGTGCCAGCGGTGGGGACCCAGCCTGGTCACCCCCATTAGGTTTTGTTACAGGCTACAGCTCTCCTTCCAAGCCATCTATCGGGCACCCATCCTGGGGGAAGCAACACAGAGTTTGTTTTCAAACCCAAACACATTCAGAGACAGACATCAGGAGATGCACGCAACTTCCGGCCTCGGCTCCGCTTCACCTGGACTGTGGGCTGTGTAAGGAGCTGGCCACTCCAGTGGGAGAGCTTCTGCTGTGTGAACCAGCATGGGTTGCTGGGTTTGAAGATGTGTGGGGCTGGAGTTACCACTTTAAAATCCAGAAAGAGGGGCTGGGGAGGGGGCTTGGCAGTTAAGAGCGCTTACCTTTCCCAGGACCCAGTTCAATTCCTAGGACCCACATGCTGGCTCCCAACTGTCTGTAGCTCCAGCTCCAGGGGATCTGGCCTCCAAGGACACCAAGAACACACATAGTGCACAGACATAGATGCAGACATAATACCCATATACATAAGATAAAATGATTAAAAAAAATAAATAAAATCCAGAAAGAAAATGAACATATTGTGAAGTACAGAGAACAGCCAAGTACTATGGTCCTGGAAACAACATCACTACATCACAATTTGCCTCCAAATCCTCACGTCCAGTGTCTTCTTCCATCCCCTCAGCTTTACTGTGAACCCCAAAATGGCACTTTAGAAAATACAGTCTGGCACATCAGCTCTTATAAAACTGTCATTAAGAGCGACATCATGGGCTGGGTTGGTGGCTCAGGGGTAAAGTGCTCACTGCACAAGCTGGACCTGAGTTTGATCCACAGAATCCTTGTAAAAATCCTGGGAAGGGGGTGGTTCATACTTGTAATCCCAGGACTGGGGAGGTAGAGGCAGGCAGATTCCCAGTGCTTGCTGACACAAGTCTAATCGTTAAGTTCCAGGTCAATGAGAGACCCTGCCTCAGAAAAATAGCAGCTTTGATGTACAGGGAAATTTTGAAGTTGTCTCAGAGTTCCCACGGGTCCCACACCAGTCACGCCATAAGCACCTCCCACTGGAAAGGCACACTTGCCCTGGTTACCAGCTAGGACTAGGGCTGCTTCGAAAAATCTGCCCTTCCTTTTTCCTCAGTTTCCCTCCACTATCTTCTGCTCTGAGATTCCATTCAGGGGACACATTGCAGGTAATCCACATCTCAGACCCTTCCTGGCAGTGACAGCTTCTCACACTCCCTTGTTTTCAATGATCTTGACCATACTGTTGCAGAATGTCCTGCCCTGACATTTGCTGGTGTCTACTGTTTTCTTCTGAGTCATCTGGGCTCCTGGTTGTTGGGAGAAAAAAAAAAGACCATAAGTGCAGTCAGGTGGTGGTGGTGGTGCAGGCCTTTAACCCCAGCACTCGGGAGGCAGAGGCAGGTGGATCTCTGGGTTTGAGGCCAGCCTGGACTACAGAGTGAGTTCCAGGACAGCAGGGGTTACACAGAGAAACCCTGTCTCAAAAACAAAAGACCACACATGAGCAGCATTTTCATCACATGTAAGGAAGCACACAGTAAGCCCAACTCAGCCCTGGGTTGC